TCGGCGCACGATAGTTCAAGACCCAAATTCCGTGAAAAGCGGCTGTCCAGAGTTGGAATCCGTGACCCGGCGATTGTTTCTGGTGACTGATGACGAGACGATGTCCTGAAGACGGATTTACAGTTGCGTAACGGGACCCTGTTGCAAGACGGGTTTGAGTGTCTAGACCGACGAAGTTTAGCGATTTTGTGTGCGGTCGATTTGCATTCACAAAAAAAATTGACGCAGGGTTAACGACTGGGATGCTTTCAAACATTGCCACATTTTTAGAGCGTGTGTCAATGTTTTCGTAATTTAATTGCTTATCGAGGTAAATTTTATCTTATCTCGTGTAAATTGTACTAATTATGGGAGCGTTGAATGCATGTGTTTGTAAATATTGTTTTGTTTGGGAAAAAAACCTGTGTCAAGCGCTAGCTGGTTTCGCAAATTCATGCTGAGGTCGAAGATGGTGAACTTATGGATGTACGAAAATCGTGATGTTGCGTGGAGGATGGTAATAAGCGCGATTTCGTAATAAGTTACGACAAGTAATTGTGGATGTTTTTGTGGTCCAAAAAGCTGATTTTTTTGAATAATATTAAATGTGTTGCATAACGTAGGTCCCACACGCTACAGAAAATGCGCGAGTTAATTGCGACGATCTTGAGTGACAGGTGGTGCGGCAGTTACCCGATCCGAATCCATTATTGATAGTCGGAACAGATACTAAAAAATTGGTCTAAAGAGTTTAGACAGTACTTCCCTCGCTGTCGGAAACTTGACGACTGCATGGCTATTGTGTTTTTTTCTCATTACATTTTTGTAGTGGGAATTTAAAAAAAATTGCGATGACGTCAACATTTTTGCAAGGACACGTATATCAGTTGGGATAGATGTAGTGTAATACTAAGAATAAAATTATTGTATTCCCAAATTTTCGGGAAAATGAATTGGGTCGTTTGAATATTGATTTGTAATAATCAATAAAATAACGAAACAATTTACTCACGTATACCTACGTATCAGAGGCAACTGAAAATCGTGTATGTATAAACATTCTTAATTTAAGATGACAGGCGTAACAGCATACGTGAGAGCCAAACAGAGAAACTGTAAACAAAACGACCGTCGGTTTTATTGCTTCGACTTCCGCTTATTATATAAAACATTGGGTTTTATTTTAATTCTTGACGGTGAAATTCACAATTGGTTGATTATAAACATGTCTATTTCACATTCGCGGAATCAAGTGAACGCATAAAACAAATGCAGGTCTGTAATGTTAAAGTCGATGTAAATAAGCGTGCTACCCTTATGTTTCAACCGAGTTTTTCCTTTAACAAATTTTGTGTCTACCAAATTGGGTTGGTTGGGGTGTAATACTAATAATAAGTGTTGCCTTTAATTTAATCAATAAAATAAATTGACTTCATTAATTTTTTTGAACCACCAAATAAGAAAATCTAAAAAATATGAATGGAATGATAAATCACAAGTACAAACTCATCATATTTTTTGCATTTTAGATAGGATTTATTCAGCAAAATTTAAGGGTGACGTCATCAATTTTTTTAGGAGGGATGAACAAATACATTTTCAACAAAAGTTTACCATGCTTATAATAACTTTAAAATATTCCCAAGATTTCAAAGCATTCGGTTTTGTAATTCCTTATTAAATCGATAAAATAAATTCACGCATTCATTAATTTTTTTGAGTCACCCTGCATATGCAAATCCAAAAATATGAATGGAATGATAAATCACAAGTACAGACTCATCATATTTTGTACATTTTAGATACGATTTATTCGGCAAACTTTTGAGCTGACGTCATCAGTTTTTTGTAGAAGATAACCAAATATATTTTGACTAAAAATTTATTATGCTCTTTATAACCTTAAAAGATCTGCAAGATTTCAAAGCATTCGGTTTTATAGTTCCTGATTAAATCAATAAAATAAATTTACGCATTCATTAATTTTTTTGAGTCACCCTGTATATGCAAATCGAAAAAATTTGAATGGAATGATAAATCACAAGAAGAGACTCACCATATTTTGTACATTTTAGATAGGATTTTTTCAGCTAAATTTTGTGGTGACGTCATAAATTTTTTAGGGGGGACGACCAAATACGTTTTGATCAAAAATTTACCATGCTAATGATAATTTTAAAATGTCTTCAAGATTTCGAAGCATTCGGTTTTGTAGTTCCTGAGTAAATCAGTAAAATAAATTTACGCTTTCATTTATTTTCTTGAATCACCCTGTATATGCAAATCCAAAAAATATGAATGGAGTGATAGATCACAAGTAGAGACTGATCATATTTTGTACATTTTAGATATGATTTATTCGGCAAATTTTCGAGCTGACGTCATCAAGTTTTTGGAGGGGATAAGCAAATATATTTTGACTAAACATTTATTATGCTCTTTATGACCTTAAAACATCTGCAAGATTTCAGAGCATTCGGTTTTGTAGTTCCTGATTAAATCAATAAAATATATTTACGCATTCATTAATGACAAAATTTACATTTCAAATTGTATTATCAAATGGTAAAAGACTCACCAAAATTTATCACAAACAATGAAATGACGCAATCTCCAAATTTTACAATAGTATATCCCCCGTTTACGGTTTATGCATCCGTGTCGAGTTTTCACCTTAGACGTCAAGATTTTTGGAAAAAAAATCAACATTTTCCAATTTATAATGTTATTTAAATTTTAAAAAGTAGAATAGTCCTGATTTATAAATACGATATTGGGATTTTTCGGCTTGTCGATTTCTCGATTTTTCAACTTTAAATGTATCAATTTTTCAATATTTCAATTTTGGTCTTTTCCGATTCTTCCATTCTTCAAATTTTCTATTTCTCGATTTTTTTATTTTTCGATTTCTCAATCTTTCGGTGTTTCAATGACACGATTGAGTTCTCAATTTTTGTCCTCTTCAATTTTACGTTTTTTAAATATTTCAATTTTTCAACTTTTCCATGTTTTAATATTTCATTTTTTAAAATTCTAGGTTTTTCGATATCTCGAGTTTTCAGTTCTTCTATATTTCAATTTTTCGATTTTTTGAATTTTAATTTTCGATTTTCCAGTTTTTCTTTTTTAAAATTTTTCGATTATTCAATTTTTTAATTTCTCAATTTATGGAATTCAGATGCTTCGTTGTTTTGATTGTTCAATTTCTCAATTTTTCAATTTTTAACTTTCCTTTTCGGCTTCCCACTCAATTTCTCGATCTTCCGATTTTTCGAAGTCTCAGTTTTTGCATTTTTCGATTTTTGGATTTCTCGGTTTTTCGATTTTTTTCTTTTGAGGTTTTCAATTTCTGGATTTTCCAATTTTTCAATATCCCGATTTTTCAATTTTTCAAATTGAATTGGATTTCTCGATTCTTCAATTTTGCGATAGTTTAATTATTCAATGTTTTAAATTTTAGATTTTTCGATTTCTCGACTTTTCAGTTCTTTAGTATTAAAATTTTTCAATTTTTCAAATTTTTGCGTTAAATTTTCAGTTTTCTGATTTCTCAATTAATCTATTTTTGATTTTCCCACTTCTCAAAGTTTCGATTTTTGAGTTCTTCAATTTTTCGATTTTTCGACTTCGCTTTATTGGTTTTTCGATTTCTCAATTTTTGGATATATGCAAATCCAAAAAATATGAATGGAGTGATAGATCACAAGTAGAGACTGATCATATTTTGTACATTTTAGATATGATTTATTCGGCAAATTTTCGAGCTGACGTCATCAAGTTTTTGGAGGGGATAAGCAAATATATTTTGACTAAACATTTATTATGCCCTTTATAACCTTAAAACATCTGCAAGAAATCAGAGCATTCCGTTTTGTAGTTCCTGATTAAATCAATAAAATATATTTACGCATTCATTAATTTTTTTGAGTCACCCTGTATATGCAAATCCAAAAAATATGAATGGAGTGATAGATCACAAGTACAGGCTCATCATATTTTGTACATTTTAGATATGATTTATTCCACAAACTTTTGAGCTGACGTCATCAAGTTTTTGGAGGGGATAAGCAAATATTTTTTGACTAAAGATTTATGATGCTCTTTATAGCCTTAAAACATCTGCAACATTTCAAAGCATTCTGGTTAGCAGATTAAAAATTAAATTTCAAAATGTTGTTTTATAATTTTGATTTTTTTTCCAAAAATCTGGACGTTTCGGGTGAAAAGTCGATTCAGAGTTGTAAACTACATGTGTAGGACTATGTTATTTTATACAATTGAAAACCCATTTACTATGTACAATTTTGAAGTGACGTCATCGCATTAGTGGTGGGGATGATTAGACAAATTTTGGTTATCGTTTTACCATCTACATGATATTCTTAATATAAGTACAAAATTTCACAACAATCGGTCGAGTACTTTCGGAGATTATCTGTCTAATAAAAATCCGGGACAACAGACGGACAGACAGACGGAAATGGGAGACCTATTTCTTCGTCTTCTAGGGGTCATGAAAGATCGAGAAAACGTAAAAGTAGAGAGTCGGCCGACGGACTCGATTACAATACTTCCTTTGCTTACGCTCGGGAAGTAAAAAACCCTTCGAAATGCTTTAAATAACCGACATTACCGAATAAAATCACTGAAACCCGTGCTTCGACGTCGCTCGCGTGACCCAAACCGACATTAGTAATTGTCAAATGAAAGCAAGATCACTTGGCGACTCGCCTGAATGACAACAGAACCGATCTGTCAATACCGGCGAACATTTTTCTACATTTAAGGCTCTCGACGTGACCATTTACGCACCGCGACCTAGGTATTCTAGGTCGCGACGTATCGACTCTTGCGACCTTCGATTTTCGATTTTTCATGAATACATGGCAATTCCTTCCGCCTCGCCAATTTCTTTCAACCTGTAGCGTCACGAACGCCGAAGCGAACGTTTGCATTTTTAACGACACCTCAGCGTCTCTCGTTCGCCATAAACCATAATAAGACGTCCTTTCCGATTTCAGATGGCAGATCCTGATCCCGAGACGCTGCTCGAATGGCTGAACAGCGGCCTGGGCGACGAACGGGACATGCAGCTGATCGCCCTGGAACAACTGTGCATGCTGCTTTTGATGTCCGACAATGTAGACCGCTGCTTTGAGAGGTAAAAGGTTGATTACACCGATTGTATGCAGAAGGAACAGTGGAAAAGCTCACTAGTGGATTGCCACGCTCGAAATACCTCGGGCGACAAATGTCCATCGTGTGAAATGCGTCACTTTACGTGCTCCCGTTGTAGTATACTATTTCGATACTGAATTGTAGCCAGGAACGTCGGACGGAGCTTTTTCTGCAGCCGATTGTCTGTGTGGCGTCCCATTTCGATTTTTATTTTTACGTAGCCCACGTCAATTAGCCTATCTGGAACCGTGACACTCATTCCGGGTGTCCGATTGCTGACTTTGGGGTCCCTATTTCCTGCTCGGGGTGTCCTACCGCATCATTGTTTAAGTGTATTATAGTTGGACAACCTAATACAAATTTTACTTCGCCTAAATAGTGAGCTTTAGGACAAGGAATCCAGGGGACGTGGGACAAATTTTTCGTCAACGCGCATTTTCACTACAGTGAGTCAACGTATCAGGTTTATTTTACTCTCCATCAGATGGCGCCATCAAACATTAGCAAAGGCAAACACCCTTCACTCTGCTCTTATACGAGGAGTTATCCATATATCCATAATTAACATTGTTCCGTAAACAGTAATGTGTATAAACATATATGTACAAAATATGAAAATATACTTGACATAAAAAATATGAAGTCAACGCGTTGTAACGTGATACGAAAGAATTGAATTTAAATGAATTTGACGCCTATTTTTATTTGACTATATCTGAAGACTGACAGAAACTTTCCAAGAGTTTTTAAACGGGTATAATTGTTTAGTTTTACAGGATTTAGTAAAATTTAAATTCGTGGTGTTACAAAAATATTAACACAAAATAACAGAATGACATAAACTTTCGGCGTTAACATTACAAATAATTACAAGACAGAAAAAAACGCATTAAGAACTTAAGAATGGCAAAATTTACATTTCAAATTGTATTATCAAATGGTAAAAGACTCACCAAAATTTATCACAAACAATGAAATGACGCAATCTCCAAATTTTACAATAGTATGTCCCCCGTTTGCGGTTTATACATCCGTGTCGAGTTTTCACCTTGGAAGTCAAGATTTTTGGAAAAAAAATCAACATTTTCCAATTTATAATGTTATTTAAATTTTAAAAAGTAGCATAGTCCTGATTTATAAATACGCTGTTGGGATTTTTCGGCTTGTCGATTTCTCGATTTTTCAACTTTAAATGTCTCAATTTTTCAATATTCCAATTTTGGGCTTTTCCGATTCTTCCATTCTTCAAATTTTCTATTTCTCGATTTTTTTATTTTTCGATTTCTCAATCTTTCGGTGTTTCAATGACACGATTGAGTTCTCAATTTTTGTCCTCTTCAATTTTACGTTTTTTAAATGTTTAAATTTTTCAACTTTTCCATGTTTTAATATTTCATTTTTTAAAATTCTAGGTTTTTCGATATCGCGAGTTTTCAATTCTTCTATATTTCAATTTTTCGATTTTTTGAATTTTAATTTTCGATTTTCCAGTTTTTCTTTTTTAAAATTTTTCGATTATTCAATTTTTTAATTTCTCAATTTATGGAATTCAGATGTTTCGTTGTTTCGATTGTTCAATTTCTCAATTTTTCAATTTTTAACTTTCCTTTTCGGCTTCCCACTCAATTTCTCGATCTTCCGATTTTTCGAAGTCTCAGTTTTTGCATTTTTCGATTTTTGGATTTCTCGGTTTTTCGATTTTTTTCTTTTGAGCTTTTCAATTTCTGGATTTTCCAATTTTTCAATATCCCGATTTTTCAATTTTTCAAATTGAATTGGATTTCTCGATTCTTCAATTTTGCGGTATTTTAATTATTCAATGTTTTAAATTTTAGATTTTTCGATTTCTCGACTTTTCAGTTCTTTAGTATTAAAATTTTTCAATTTTTCAAATTTTTGCGTTAAATTTTCAGTTTTCTGATTTCTCAATTAATCTATTTTTGATTTTCCCACTTCTCAAAGTTTCGATTTTTGAGTTCTTCAATTCTTCGATTTTTCGACTTCGCTTTTTTGGTTTTTCGATTTCTCAATTTTTGGATATTTCTTTCAGTTTTGATATTTTTCAATACTTCGATTCTTTAATTTTTCGACTTCTAGATTTTTCTATTTTTTATTTTTGGATTTTCAGTTTTTTGTTTTTTATACTTCAATTGCTCAATTTTTCAACATTTCCATATTTTAATTTTTAAATTTCTAGATTTTTCGGTTTCTCGAGTTTCCAGTTCTATGTTTTAATTCTTCAAATTTCCGAATTTTTAAATTTTTTGAGATCTCAATTTATTGAGATTCGGATGTTTCGATGTTTTGATTATTCAATCTCTGGCTTTATCAATTTTTCCATATTTAAGTTTTCGATTTTTCGATTTTGGCCCATTTCGGTTTCCCAATTTTTCGATTTTTCGACTTCTCGATTTTTCGACTCCTCGATTTTTTGGTCTTTTGATTTTTACATTTCTCGATGTCTCAATTATTAAATTTTACGATGTTTCGATTTTTCGATTTGTTGGTTTTTCGATTTTTTGCTTTTCGGTTTCTCAATCTTTCGATGTTTCGATTTTTGAATTTTTAATTTATCCGATTTTTCAATTTTCCATTTTTTTAACGTTTCGACTTTTCGATTCGTTGATTTTTCAGTTTTTCGATTTTTAAATTTTGGATTTTCGAATTTTTATTTTTTTGATTTTTTGATGTTTGGATTTCTCCATTTTTCAGTTTTAGGATATTTTACTTCTCAATGTTTTAAATTTTAGATTTTTGGATTTTTCAGTTCTTCTATGTTTTTTTATTTTTCAAATTTTGACGTTTCTGAATTTTTAGTTTTCGGATTTCTCAATTAATCTATTTTTTATATTCCCATTTCTCCACTTCTTAAAATTTCGATTTTTCAGTTCTTCGGTTCTTCAATTTTTCGATTATTCAGGTTTTCGATTTTTCGACTCTGCTTTTTTGAATTTTCTGTTTTTCGGTATTTCAGTTTTGGAATTTTTCAATATGTTGATTCAATTTTGCAATTTTTTAATTTTTTAGTGTTTCGATTTTTCCAATTTTTCAAAAATTTCTCGATTTTCTACTTTTTCGTTTTTTCAAATTTAAGATTTTTTTGATTATTGATTTATTCGATTTTTTAATTTTTCAATTTTTCTATTCTCGATTGATCGAGATTTCGATTTTTCAGTTGTTCAATTTCCCTAGTTTTCAATTTTTGTTATGTTTCAACCCATCTCGACTTTTTGATTTCACGATCGATTCCTCGAGGTTCAATTTTTTGATGTTTGGATTTCCCCAGTTTTTAATTTTCCTTTGATTTTTCAATTTTTCGATTTTCCAATTTACCTGCTCATCAATTTTTAGGTATTTCAGGTTTCTTGTAGTTTTTTAATTTTTTATTATTTCGATTTTTCAATTTTTCAGTTCTTGAAAATTTCGATTTTTTAATTTCTCGATTTTCTACTTTTTCGATTTTTGAAATTTAAGATTTTTTTGATTAGTGAATTTATTCGATTTATCAAGTCTGGGATATTTCGATATTTCTATTTTTCGATTTTTTGATTTCTGGACTTTTCGATTTCACGATCTTTTCATGTTTCGATTCCTCGAGGTTCAATTTTTTGTTGTTTGGATTTCTAGATTTCTCGATTTTTTTGATTTTTCAATTTTTCGGCTTTTTGCATTTTCGATTTTCCGTTTTCAAAATTTTTCTTATTTTTCTTCGCAATTTTTCGACTTTTTGATTTCTTAATTTTTCAGTTTTTCAATTTTGCAATTCGTCGAAGTTTAAATCTTGCGATTTTTCAATTTCCCTTCTATTTTTCAGTTTTTCGAATCTTCAAAATTTCGATTTCTCGGTTTTCTGATTTTTCGACTTTTAACTTTTCGAAAAAACGAAACATCGAAATCTCGACAAATCGGGAAATCTCAAAAAATTATGAAACTGAAAAATCGAAAAATTGAAAAGTCGAAAAATTTAAAATTTAAAAAACCAAAAATGAAAGACCGGAAAAGTGAACAATAAAGAAAAAGGAAATCGAGAAATCGAAAAATTGATTAATCGATAAATCAGAAAATTGAAGAATCGATAAACTGAGATAACGAAAAAGAATGGAAAATGGAGAAATGGGGAAATCAAAAAATCGAAAAATCGAACACCTTCAAAAATTGAAATATTGAAAAATCAAAAAATCGATTTTTCGTTTTTTAAATTGTAGGATTATTAAATTTGTCAATTTTTTAATTTTTAAAATTTTAGATTTTTCATTTGTCGATTTTTCGATTTTCCAATTTCTTAATAATTATTCAATTCTCTATTTTTTAATTTTTTAATTTTTTGTATTTTCAATTTTGGCCTGATTTGATTTCTCAATTTTTCGATTTCCGAATTTTTGAGTTTTCGATAAACCGATCTTTTGATTTCCCGATGATTCAGTTTTTTAATTTTTCGTTGTTTTGATTTTTGGATTTCCCGATTTTTCGACTTTTTGGCTTTTTGATTTTCCAATTTTTTATTTCGATTTTTCAATTTTTCAAATTTTCACGTTTCTAAATTTTCAGTTTGCCGATTTCTAAAGTATTTTTTTTTATTTGTCCATTTCTGGACTTCCTAAAGTTTCGATTTTTCACACCTTCAATTCTTCAATTTTTCGATTTTTTAAGATTACGATTTTTCGATTTTGCTTTTTTAGATTTTCGATTTCTCAAGTTTCCAATTTTTTAATTTCTCAATTTTTTGAATATTTCTTTCAGTTATGAGATTTTTCAATATTTCAATTTTTCAACTTTTCGATTTTTGAATTGATGGATTTTTTTTGATTTCTCGATTTTTTACTTTTTGGATTTTCAATTTATTGTAAACTTTAGATTTTTTAATTCTGCGACTGTTTAATAAAGCTTCGATTTCTCAATTTTTCAACTTTTCGACGTTTTAATATTTCATTTTTTAAAATTCTAGATTTTTCGATATCTCGAGTTTTCAATTCTTCTATATTTCAATTTTTCGATTTTTTTAATTTTAATTTTCGATTTTCCAGTTTTTTTTTTTAATTTTCGATTATTCAATTTTTTAATTTCTCAATTTATCGAATTCAGATGTTTCGTTGTTTTGATTGTTCAATTTCTCAATTTTTCAATTTTTAACTTTCCTTTTCGGCTTCCGACTCCTCAATTTCTCGTTCCTCCGATTTTTCGATTTCTCGAAGTCTCAGTTTTTGAATTTTTCGATGTTTCGATTTTTGGATTTCTCGGTTTTTCGATTTTTCAATTTTTCAAATTGAACTGGATTTCTCGATTCTTCAATTTTGCGGTATTTTAATTATTCAATGTTTTAAATTTTCGATTTTTCGGTTTCTCGATTTTTTGACTTTAGTTCTTCAGTATTTAAATTTTTCAATTTTTCAAATTTTTGCGTTAAATTTTCAGTTTTCTGATTTCTCAATTAATCTATTTTTGATTTTCCCACTTCTCAAAGTTCCGATTTTTCAGTTATTCAATTCTTCGTTTTTTCGACTTCGCTTTATTGGTTTTTAGATTTCTCAATTTTTGGATATTTCTTTCAGTTTTGATATTTTTGGATTTTCAGTTTTTCGTTTTTTATGCTTTAGATTTTACAATTTTTCGATTGTTTTATATTTCAATTTCTCAATTTTTCAACTTTTCCATATTTTAATTTTTAAATTTCTAGATTTTTCGGTTTCTCGAGTTTCCAGTTCTATATTTTAATTCTTCAAATTTCCGAATTTTTAAATTTTTTGGGATCTCAATTTATTGAGATTCGGATGTTTCGATGTTTTGATTATTCAATCTCTCGCTTTATCAATTTTTCCATATTTAAGTTTTCGATTTTTCGATTTTGGCCCATTTCGGTTTCCCAATTTTTCGATTTCTCGATGTCTCAATTTTTGAATTTTACAATGCTTCGATTTTTTGCTTTTCGGTTTCTCGATTTTTCGATGTTTCGATTTTTGATTTATCCGATTTTTCAATTTTCCAGTTTTTTAAATTTTCGACTTCTCGATTCGTTGATTTTTCAATTTTTCAGTTTTTCGATTTTTAAATTTTAGATTTTCGAATTTTTATTTTTTTGATTTTTTTGATGTTTGGATTTCTCCATTTTTCAGTTTTAGGATATTTTAACTTTTCAATGTTTTAAGTATTAGATTTTTCAGTTCTTCAATATTTTTTTATTTTTCAAATTTTGACGTTTCTGAATTTTTAGTTTTCGGATTTCTCAATTAATCAATTTTTTTATATTCCCATTTCTCCACTTCCTTAAGTTTCGATTTTTCGGTTATTCAGTTCTTCAATTTTTCGATTAATCAGGTTTTTGATTTTTCAATTTTTCGATTTTTTAAGTTAGCGATTGTTCGACTCTGCTTTTTTGACTTTTCTGTTTCTCAATTTTTTAATTTCCTAATTTTTGGATATTTCGTTCAATTTTGTGATTTTTCAGTTTTTCGATTTCTCAATTTTAACTTTTCAATTTTTAAATTATTAATTTTTTTTCGATTTTTTGAGTTTCCAGTTCTTCTATATTTCAATTTTTCAATTTTCGGAATTTTTCAATTTTCGATTGTCCAATTTTTTTTTATTTCTCGATTTTTAAATTTTAGATTTTCCAATTTTTATGTTTTTGATTTTTTTATGTTACAATTTTACCATATTTGAATTTTTCAATGTTTTAAATTTTCGATTTCGAATTTCATAGTGAAGCGAGTGAGATGTAAAATATATATTCATTCTTTTCTACATGAGAAAGTGATTGTCCGTATAGGTTGTCCAACTATAATATACTTAAACAATGCTAATACCCATTCCGGGTGTCCAATTGTCCACTTTGGGTTCGCTATTTTCCACTCTGACTGTCCTACCGCTTACGGCAACTATTGTACCGCTTACGCGGCGTGCCCTACCGCTTACACCTAACGCCTTACCGCTTAGCCGAACAGGCGTTCCCCGACTGTAATTGGTCTCTTTTTCTTCCAGTTGCCCCCCTCGCACCTTCCTCCCAGCTTTATGCCGCATCTTCCTCGACGAGCAGGCGCCCGAGAACGTCCTCGAGGTGACGGCGCGCGCCATCACCTACTACCTGGACGTCTCCGCCGAGTGCACTCGCCGCATCGTCGCGATCGAGGGTGCGGTCCGGGCCATCTGCAACCGTCTCGTCGTCGCTGAACTGTCATCCCGCACCAGCAAGGACCTGGCCGAACAATGCGTCAAGGTGCTCGAGCTCATCTGTACGCGCGAGGCCGGCGCCGTCTTCGACGCCGGCGGCCTCAGCGCCATCCTACCCTTCATCAGGGACAACGGGAATCGCGTCCACAAGGACACGCTCCATTCGGCGATGGCCGTCGTCTCCAGGTTGTGCACGAAGATGGAACCGGCGGACGCTCAACTACCGACTTGCGTTCAAGCGCTGAGCACTTTGCTCAGACACGAGGACTCGCACGTGGCCGACGGGGCGCTGAGGTGTTTCGCGTCGGTGGCGGACAGGTTCACGAGGAGGGGAGTGGATCCGGCGCCTTTGGCGCAGCACGGTAGGATAACCGGTGTCGCAGTAGGCGTACGAAAACTATCATGCGTGTCGTTACAGGATTGGTGAACGAGTTACTCAGCCGTCTCTCTAACGCCGCCGGCCCAGCAGTGGCAGCCGGCACACAAACCACATCAGGTAAAGCCTCATCGACAACGAACGCCACTGCCACGGTACCAGACGCCAAAGCTACAGCAGCTTCAGTATCGACAATTATCAGTTTACTCTCAACCTTGTGTAGGGGCTCGCCCGCCATAACTCACGTGGGTTTTCAACAACCCGCAGTCGATTTTTTGTTTCATGATCAAATTTTAGGACTTGCTGCGCTCAGAACTACCCGACGCCATTGAAAAATCTTTGAAAGGAGACGAACGCTGCGCCCTCGACTCGATGCGGCTCGTCGATCTTCTGTTAGTGTTGCTGTTCGAGGGTCGCCGCGCTTTGGGAAAGTCGGGCGGCGCCACCTCCTCCGGCCAACTCCTGCCGCGGATCCGACGCATGGACCCCGCAGCCGAGAAGTCGCACCGCCAACTCATCGACTGCATCAGATCGAAAGACACGGACGCTCTTATCGAGGCGATCGAGTCAGGCGGGGTCGAAGTGAACTTCATGGACGACGTGGGCCAGACGCTGCTGAACTGGGCGTCGGCGTTCGGGACGCAGGAGATGGTGGAGTATTTGTGCGATCGCGGCGCCGACGTGAACAAGGGGCAAAGGAGCTCCTCGTTGCACTACGCGGCCTGCTTCGGTCGGCCGGCCATCGCGAAGGTGCTGCTGCGGCACGGCGCGAACCCCGACCTCCGCGACGAGGACGGGAAGACCCCGTTGGACAAGGCGCGCGAGCGGGCCGACGAGGGGCACCGGGAGGTGGCGGCGATTTTGCAATCCCCGGGCGAGTGGATGATTCCGATTGATAAAGACAGGAATAGGAAGTCCGAGTCGGACAACGACGACAATATAGAGCCGCGCGGTGATCCCGAAATGGCGCCGGTTTATCTAAAAAGACTATTGCCGGTGTTTTGTACGACGTTTCAGTCGACGATGCTAGCGTCTGTTCGTAAGGCTAGTTTAGGGTTAATTAAAAAAATGATTCACTACATTATACCTAGTTTATTGGAGGAGTTGTGCAACAATGAATCTAGTCCCAATTTCGGAACGCAGCTTGTCGAAGTCATCGCCACGGTGCTGGATAACGAGGTGAGTCGGCGGCGGGAGGGGCGGACGGGGCATTCGTTTGTGCTTAGAGTTGGTCACGTCGTGCATTTTACAGATGAGTTATTGCTGCCCGAGCACACATAACACCACCACAGCACCCCTCACGTTATTTGTACGCAAGATGCGTGCTTTGGTGTATGATAGGCGTGTTATTCCATATTCTTCTCCGGTCAGTCTGGTTTATGTGCCTTGCTAACTACCGGTTTTACGTTCCTAAATAATAAGCAAATCAAACCACCGTACGTGTTGAATAACTGGCTTGGACGGTGTGTCGGCGGGGGCGCACGTACCGGCAAACTCTACCTATACCAACCACTCAGTGAAATACCACGAAAACGTCTTAGCCGAGCAAAAAAACACGCAAAGGATGGGAACCCAAATCTCTAGGGTGCGATTTTCTTTCTCGACCGAAAAGAACTCGATACCGATAAAATCTCGTTTGCTGATTGGTTGAGATGCTACATTTCTGTCACATTTCTCGATTCTGTCACGAAATCAAGTCTTCATGGAGTGATATTTTCTCGATAGCTCGAACTAAAGTGATCAATTTTGGAGACATAACCTCGAAATTTATGTCAAAATAGAAGTTCAAAATCGTAATTCCGAGTTATAAGTTGTTAAAATTAAGGTAATTGTAAACTTTTAAGCATTTAGTAAGCTTATATGCAAAGAATAAATGCAAACTTTTGCATTTAAAAGCTACGCATACTACGCAATGACATTTATCGCAAGGGATAATTTATCACTTCGCTCGAGAAACAAAATTGCACCCCTAATGTGGGAACTTCAGTAAATCTAGCTTGGGAACGTACGTCTAGCGGGGGGTCTACGTCAGTCTGGTGTGAAAACCTAAATCTAGCGTGGGAACCCAAGTAGGTGTAGTTCGGGAACCTAAATTTACGGTGGGAACCCAAATTTACCATGGAAATCTAAGTCTTGCGTGGGGACCAAAATTTACCGTCGGAACATCAGTAAATCTAACTTGGGAACCTAAATCTAGCGTAGGAACCCACATCGGCCGTGGGAACTATATAGATCTAGCGTGGGAATCCAAGTATTCGGCATGAGAATCTAAGTAGGTCTAGTGCGAGAACCGAAATTTACCGTGGGTACTTTGTTAAATATAGCGTGGGAACCCAAATTTACCGTGAGAAATTAAGTAAATCTACCGTAGAAACCCAGGTCTAACGTAGAAACCTACATCTAGCTTGTAATCTGAAATAAATCTACCTTGAGAATCTAAGTAATGAGCATGGGAATATATGTCTTGCGTGGGAACCCAATTTACCGTGGGAAATTAAGTAAATCTAGCTTGGGAACCTAAACCTAGCGTGGAAAGTCACATCGGCTATGGGAAATAAGTAGATCTAGCGTAGAAACCCAAGTATCCAGCATGAAAATCTAAGTAGGTCTAGTGCGAGAACCTAAATTTACTGTGGGAACTTTGTTAAATATAGCGTGAGAACCCAAATTTACCGTGGGAAGTTAAGTAAATTTACCGTAGAAACCTACGTCTAGCTTGGGAACTGAAATAAATCAACCTTGGGAACCGAAGTAACAAGTATGGGAATATAAGCCTTGTGTGGGAACCCAAATTTACCGTAGGAACTTTAATAAATCTAACGTGGGAACCCAAATTTACCGTGTGAAATTAAGTAAATCTACCTTAGGAACCTAAGTAACAAGCATAGGAATTTGTTCTGCGTGGGAACCCAAATTTACCGTGGGAAATTAAGTAATTCTACCCTGAAAATCTAAGTCTAACATAGAAACCTACGTCTAGCTTGGGAATTGAAGTAAATCTACCTGTAGAACCTAAGTAACAAAGCATGGGAATATAAGCCTTACGAGGGAACCCAAATTTACCGTGAGAACTTTAATAGATCTACCGCGGGAACCCAAATTCACAATGGGAAATTAAGTAAATCTACCTTAGGAACCTAAGTAACAAGCATAGAAATCTTAAGTCTTGCGTGGGAACTCAAATTTACCCTGGGAACTAAGTAGATTTAGCATAGGAACCCAAATATGCAGCATGAGAATCTAAGGCCTAGTGCGAAAACCTAAATTTACCTTGGGAACTTTGTTAAATATAGCGCGGGAACCCAGATTTACCGTGGGAAATTAAGTAAATCTACCTTAGGAACCAAAGTAACAAGCATAGGAATCTCTGTCTTGCGTGGGAACCCAAATTTACCGTGGGAAATTAAGTAAATCTACCTTGGAAATCTAAGTCTAACAGAAACCTATGTTTAGCTTGGGAACTGAAGTAAATCTACCTTGAAAACTTAAGTAACAAAGCATGGGAATATAAGCCTTGCGTGGGAACCCAAATTTACCGTGGGAACTTTAATAAATCTAGCGCGGGAACCCAAATTTACCATGGGAAATTAAGTAAATCTAGCTTGGGAACTAAGTAGATTTAGCATAGGAACCCAAATATCCAGCATGAAAATCTAAGGTCTAGTGCGACAACCTAAATTTACCGTGGGAACTTTGTTAAATATAGCGTGAGAACCCAAATTTACCGTGGGAAATTAACTAAATTTACCATAGAAACCTACGTCTAGCTTGGGAACTGAAATAAATCTACCTTGGGAACCTAAGTAACAAGCATGGGAACATAAGCCTTATGTGGGAACCCAAATTTACCGTGGGAACTTTAATAAATCTAGCGCGGGAACCCAGATTTACCGTGAGAAATTAAGTAAATCTACCTTAGGAACCTAAATAGCAAGCATAGGAATCTAAGTCTTGCATGGGAACCCAAATTTACCCTGGGAACTTCAGTAAATCTAGCTTGGGAACTAAGTAGATTTAGCATGGGAACCCAAGTATCCAGCATGAGAATCTAAGGTCTAGTGCGAGAACCTAAATTTACCGAGGAAACTTTGTTAAATATAGCGTGAGAATCCAAATTTAGCGTGACAATCCAAATTTACCGTGGGAAATTAACTAAATTTACCGTAGAGACCTAGATCTTACTTGAGAACTGAAATAAATCTACCTTGGGAACCTAAGTAACAAGCATGGGAATATGTCTTGTATGGGAACCCAAATTTACCGTGGGAACTTTAATAAATCTAGCGCGGGAACCCAGATTTACCGTGGGAAATTAAGTAAATCTACCTTAGGAACCTAAGTAGCAAGCATAGGAATCTAAGTCTTGCGTGGGAACCCAAATTTAACCTGGGCACTTCAGTAAATCTAGCTTGGGAACTATGTAGATTTAGCATGGGAACCCAAGTATTCAGCATGAGAATCTAAGGTCTAGTGCGAGAACCTAAATTTACCGTGGGAACTTTGTTAAATATAGCGTGAGAACCCAAATTTACCGTGGAAAATTAACTAAATTTACCGTAGAAACCTACATCTAGCTTGGGAACATAAGTCTTGTGTGGGAACCCAAATTTACCGCGGGAACTATAATAAATCTAGCGCGGGAACCCAAATTTACCGTGGGAAATTAAGTAAATCTACCTGAGGAACCTAAGTAACAAGCATAGGAATCTGTCTTGCGTGGGAACCCAAATTTACCGTAGAAAATTAAGTAAATCTACCCTGGAAATCTAAGTCTAACAAACCTACGTCTAGCTTGGGAACTGAAGGAAATCTACCTTGAGAACTTAAGTAACAAGGCATGGGAATATGAGCCTTGCGTGGGAATCTGAATTTACCGTGGGAACTTTAATAAATCTAGCGCAGGAACCCAAATTTACCGTGGGAAATTAAGTAAATCTATCTTAGGAACCTAAGTAGCAAGCATAGGAATCTAAGTCTTGCGTGGGAACCCAAATTTACCCCGGGGAACTTCAGTAAATCTAGCTTGGGAACTAAGTAGATTTAGCATAGGAACCCAAGTATCCAGCTTGAGAATCTAAGGTCTAGTACGAGAACCTAAATTTACCGTGGGAACTGTGTTAAATATAGCGTGAGAACCCAAATTTACCGTGAGAAATTAACTAAATTTACCGTAGAAACCTACATCTAGCTTGCGAACTGAAATAAATGAACCTTGGGAACCCAAGTAACAAGCATGGGAATATAAGTCTTGTGTGGGAATCCAAATTTACCGTAGGAACTTTAATAAATCTAGCGCGGGAACCCAAATTTACCGTGGGAAATTAAGTAAATCTACCTTAGGAACCTAAGTAACAAGCATAGGAATCTTAAGTCTTGCGTGGGAACCCAAATTTACCCCGGGAATTTTGAGTAAATCTAGCTTGGGAACTAAGTAGATTTAGCATAGGAACCCAAGTATCCAGCTTGAGAATCTAAGGTCTAGTGCGAGAACCTAAATTTACCGTGGGAACTTTGTTAAATATAGCGTGAGAACCCAAATTTACCGTGGGAAATTAACTAAATTTACCGTAGAAACCTACGTCTAGCTTGAGAACTGAAATAAATCTACCTTGGGAACCTAAGTAACAAGCATGGGAACATAAGTCTTGTGTGGGAACCCAAATTTACCGTGGGAACTTTAATAAATCTAGCGCAGGAACCCAAATTTACCATGGGAAATTAAGTAAATCTACCTTAGGAACCTAAGTAGCAAGCATAGGAATCTAAGTCTTGCGTGGGAACCCAAACTTACCCCGGGAATTTCAGTAAATCTAGCTTGGGAACTAAGTAGATTTAGCATAGGAACCCAAGTATCCAGCATGAGAATCTAAGGTCCAGTGCGAGAACCTAAATTTACCGTGGGAACTTGGTTAAATATAGCGTGAGAACCCAAATTTACCGTGAGAAATTAACTAAATTTACCATAGAAACCTACATCTAGCTTGGAAACTGAAATAAACTTATCTTGGAAACCTAAGTAACAAGCATGGGAACATAAGTCTTGTATGGGAACCCAAATTTACCGTGGGAACTATAATAAATCTAACGCGGGAACCCAGATTTACCGTGGGAAATTAAGTAAATCTACCTTAGGAACCTAAGTAACAAGCATAGGAATCTCTGTCTTGCATGGGAACCCAAATTTGCCGTGGGAAATTAAGTAAATCTACCCTGGAAATCTTAAGTCTAACAGAAACCTACGTCTAGCTTGGGAACTGAAGTAAATCTACCTTGAGAACTTAAGTAACATAGCATGGGAATATAAGCCTTGCGTAGGAACCCAAATTTACCGTGGAAAATTAAGTAAATCTACCTTAGGAACCTAAGTAACAAGCATAGGAATCTAAGTCTTGCGAGGGAACCCAAACTTACCCCGGGAATTTCAGTAAATCTAGCTTGGGAACTAAGTAGATTTAGCATAGGAACCCAAGTATTCAGCATGAGAATCTAAGGTCTAGTGGGAGAACCTAAATTTACCGTGGGAAATTAACAAAATTTACCGTAGAAACCTACATCTAACTTGGGAACTGAAATAAATCTACCTTGGGAATATAAGTCTTGTATGGGAACCCAAATTTACCGTGGGAACTTTAATAAATCTAACGCGGGAACCCAAATTTACCGTGGGAAATTAAGTAAATCTACCTTAGGAACCTAAGTAGCAAGCATAGGAATCTAAGTCTTGCTCGGGAACCCAAATTTACCCCGGGAACTTCAGTAAATCTAGCTTGGGAACTAAGTAGATTTAGCATAGGAACCCAAGTATCCAGCTTGAGAATCTAAGGTCTAGTGCGAGAACCTAAATTTACCGTAGAAACCTACGGTAAATTTAGAAACTTGGGAACTGAAATAAATCTACCTTAGGAACCTAAGTAACAAGCATGGGAATATGTCTTGTATGGGAACCCAAATTTACCGTGGGAACTTTAATAAATCTAGCGCGGGAACCCAGATTTACCGTGGGAAATTAAGTAAATCTACCTTAGGAACGTAAGTAACAAGCATGGGAATATGTCTTGTATGGGAACCCGAATTTACCGTGAGAACTTTAATAAATCTAGCGCAGGAACCCAAATTTACCGTGGGAAATTAAGTAAATCTACCCTAGAAATCTAAGTCTAACAGAAACCTACGTCTAGCTTGGGAACTGAAATAAATCTACCTTGAGAACTTAAGTAACAAAGCATGGGAATATAAGCCTTGCGTGGGAACCCAAATTTACCGTGGGAACTTTAATAAATCTAGCACAGGAGCCCAAATTTACAATGGGAAGTAAATCTACCTTAGGAACCTAAGTAGCAAGCATAGGAATCTAAGTCTTGCGTGGGAACCTAAATTTACCCTGGGAACTTCAGTAAATCTAGCTTGGGAACTGAGTAGATTTAGCATGGGAACCCAATTATCCAGCATGAGAATCTAAAGTATAGTGCGAGAACCTAAATTTACCGTGGAAACTTTGTCAAATATAGCGTGGGAACCCAAATTTACCTGGGAAATTAAGTAAATCTAGCTTGGGAATCTAAGTATCAAGAATTGGAATCTAACTAAGTCTTGCGTGGGAACTTTAATAAATCTAGCGTGGGAGCTCAATTTTATTGTGAGAACATGAGTAAATCTAGCTTAGAAACCTAAATAGCAAGCATGGGAATTTAAGTCTTGCGTGGGAACCCAAATTTAACATGGAAACTTTAATAAATCTAGCGAGGGAACTCAATTGTACCGTGGGAACATAAGTAAATCTAGGTTAAGAACCTAACTATCAAACATGAGAATCTAAGTAAGTCTAGTATGAGAGCCTAAATTTAGCATGGGAACCCAAATTTACCGTGGAAACTAACATCTAGCGTAGAAACTCAATTTTACCGTGGTAACATAAGTAAATTTAGCTTAAGAACATAACTATCAAGCATGAGAATCTTTAAGTTTAGGATGAAATCCTAAATTTAGCGTGGGAACCCAAATTTACCGTGTAAACTTCGCTTAATCTAGTGTGGGAACCTAAAACCCAAACTGCTGGCAAAGTCGTGGCCCGTGTATTTCACTTTGGTGTTACCTCAATCCTCTCCGGTACGTTCGGCCCCGCGTCGGTGTTCCTCTAACCCGTGGCATGTGCTCGCATCCCGCGCCCGAAAACGGTTCTCTCGACTTTCTTCTTCTAGGATGACGAGGACGGCCACCTCATCGTGCTAGCCGTCATCCAAGACCTCATGGCGAAGTCGCAGGACATTTTCTTGGACCATTTCGCGCGCCTGGGGATCTTCTCCAAGGTGCAAGCTTTGTCCGGCCCGCCGGAGGTGCAAGAGAACGAAGAGAACGAGCAGACGACCGAAGGTAAATATTTTCGTCGCGCGTCAAGTTCTATCTCTACGAGTAATTCTCTGTGTAGAAGTTACCGAGCAGAGTCAGGTGGAAGATGCCAAAGAAATATTACCCGGTAAAGCCTACCACTGGCGGGATTGGTCGATCTGTCGTGGTAGGGATTGTTTGTACATTTGGTCGGACGCTGCGGCCCTCGAGCTTTCCAACGGTTCCAACGGGTGGTTCCGGTTCATCCTGGATGGGAAGTTGGCCACCATGTACTCGAGCGGATCGCCGGAAGGGGGCGCTGACACTTCCGGTAAGTGCACTCGGGTTGTGATTGCACAAGGAAAAACAGGCATGAAGGTGTTTTAGAGATACTTTTCTTGATTGATTGATTGATTCACTTGACAAGCTTGAAATTAGTTGTTTTTTTTTTTTAAATCGTGCCGGCTTCTAGAAAATCATTAAGTGCGTATCATCCACACTTCATCACGTTTGTTTATTCGAATACTGATTTGCTTCTTATTGTACATTCCTCGATCTAGTTTTATCATATACTTGCTAATATTGCATTGTTAATATTGCTGAGTGGTAACACAAGTGATTGTTGATTTGTTTGTCTTCAATAGGCAAAGGACGAGCCGCAGACACACTCACGACCGAAGGTAAGACAGCTTCACTTTATCCAAAAAAAATTAAAGACACGCAGACGCTCCACCGCTTTGCCTTTCTATACAAAAACTCTTGTTTTATTCTTCATTTGCGACCATAAGTTCAGATTATTTTCTTCATGTTAGTTTTGCGTTAGGTCCTACATCAACCGCTTTTGCATCTTTGCCCACTTTCTAATGTTTGTAACAACTGTCAAGTCACTAATTTTCGCCAAACCAAAGTACTAACTGTCGGATTACACCTTCAGAGAATCGCGGCGAGTTCTTGGAAAAGCTGCAACGCGCAAGAGCCGCAGTCCGGAGTAACGTGAATTCGATCCCCATTCTCTCTAAGCCGGGACCGATGCGTCTGGTCGTCGGTAACTGGTCCCTAACATCCCGAAAAGACGCAGAAATCCACATCCACAACTCCGACGGCCAACACCAGACGACCATCCTTCGCGAGGACCTGCCCGGGTTCATCTTCGAGTCCAACCGGGGCACGAAGCACTCCTTCACCGCCGAAACTAGTCTGGGTAGGTTGTAGGTGGTACCACGAGGTTTAAATTCGTTAAAAAGGCTCTTGCCAAACCCCAGGTCCCGAATTCTCCGCCGGCTGGACCAACAAGAAGGGCAAGCGCCTCCGCTCCAAGACCGAAGCCACCAAGATCAAAGTCAAGTACCTCGCGCACTCCATCTACGAGCAGTACTTCCGCGCCGCCCAAGCTCAACCCAGAGGCGTCGTCGCCAAACTGGGCAACATCGTCGCTCAAATCGAACGCGCGTGTCAAAAGCAGTGCTCATACGGGAACAACCGGGAAGGCGGGAATTCGTGGAAGGAGATACTCAGGAATGCGTTGGACGACCTCACCCAGATTCTCGAAGACGACGGGGTTGTGAGCGCCTACGAGTTACACAGTTCTGGGTTAATCCAAGCGCTACTGTCCCTTCTGTCCACGAGCTATTGGGACCAAGGACTCAAGTCGAGCAAAATGAACAAGTACCAAAAGCAACGGGTGCAAGTATTCAAGCAGTGCTTTAAAAGCAAGTCGAACGAAGAAAAGAACTCCATTTATATTTTAGTCCATAAGTTGGTTTCGGTACTGGAGAGTATCGAGAAGCTACCGGTGTATCTGTACGACACTCCAGGGTCGGGGTACGGTTTGCAAATCTTGACCAGGCGGTTGAGGTTTCGATTGGAGAAGGCACCGGGTGAGAGTTCCTTGATTGATAGAACCGGCCGGGGACTCAAAATGGAACCACTGAGCACGGTGGCGCAGCTCGAGCGGTACTTGTTGAAGATGGTGGCGAAGCAGTGGTACGACTACGACAGGAGCACGTTCCAGTTCTTGAAGAAACTCCGCGAGAGCAAGTACCAGACGTTCAAGCACAGCTACGACTTCGACGAGAACGGGATCATCTATTTCATCGGTACTAACGGCAAGACGAGCTCGGAATGGGTCAACCCGGCTCAGTACGGTCTGGTGACGGTGACGAGCTCCGACGGACGGAATTTGCCGTACGGACGGGTTGAAGATATTCTGTCGAGGGACTCCTCGGCGTTGAATTGTCACACGAACGACGACAAGAAGTCGTGGTTTAGTATAGATCTGGGACTGTATGTGATACCGAACGCCTATACTTTGAGGCACGCCCGAGGCTACGGTCGTTCGGCTTTACGCAATTGGTACTTCCAGATGTCCCGTGACGGGATTACGTGGACTACGCTTTATACGCACACGGATGACACGAGTTTGAACGATCCCGGGTCTACTAGTACCTGGCCGATTGAGACGCCGCCGGATGAGTACCAAGGGTGGCGCCACGTCCGCATACAACAAGCGGGGAAGAACGCGTCGGGACAAACCCACTATTTGTCACTGTCTGGGTTCGAAATCTACGGACAAGTCACTGGGGTTTGTGAGGATTTGGGTAAAGCGGCTAAAGAAGCCGAAGCTCACTTGAGGAAGCAACGGAGGTTGTTGAAGACGCAGCTGCTCAAACATATGACTGTGGGTGCGAGGGTCGTCAGAGGAATCGACTGGAAGTGGAGGGGACAGGATGGGAATCCCCCAGGTGAAGGAACAGTGACCGGGGAATTACACAGTGGGTGGATTGACGTGACTTGGGATCACGGAGGCTCGAATTCGTACAGGATGGGGGCTGAAGGAAAGTACGACTTGAAGTTGGCACCGGGTTACGATGTAGAAGCGGCGACTTCGTCCAAGAATACTAGTAAGAATAAGGACTCGAAGGATAAGCAGAGTGTGTTGACGAGTCGAAAAAGTAGCTCGACGCCGAGTTTACCCGAAGCTACTGACGTCAAGACTTCGGTTGCGTCGACGGAACAAGCGGCCTCTGCCGATAATTTAGCGGCGAAACAAGCGGCCGAGACCATAGCCGAGAGTGTTCTTAACGTCGCGAGAAATGAAGCTTTGGTTGCTGTGACGTCGGAATCTCAAGCCGCTAATAACGATTCTGAGTTATCCGTAGTGGTGCACCCTTTACGTGACCCCCACCATGACTTAAGTACCATTAATAACTCGAGCGACTTAGCCACAATCGTGGAGAGTTTAGCTTTGTCTGACACGAAACCCAGCAGCGCCACCCGTCGTCAGAATTCCGACGACAGACCCAACACTTCGGAGAAGACGTCCATGGTGACTAGCAACTCCGCTTCGAATTTAAACAAGAGCGCTCACTCCAACCGCGCTAAGATCAACAACAGCCAAGTGGCCGCCGCCGCCGCCCAGACCTTCGTCGAAGCCGTCGAAGCCCTCGACAAGCTCCGCGAAGGCTCCGACATGCTCCGAAACAACACGAACAATTTCCTCTCCGGTGAGTTACTCCAAACGGCCCTCAATCTAGGCCAGAGCAGCCAGCAGTCAATAAGCTCTCTGAATACAGGTGTGCGGATCGCGGTTTCGGCCAACCCGGAGACCGACGAAGACAAACCGAAGCGAAAAGCCGACGAGTCCACCAGCAAGGACCCCTGCGACAAGGACGAAGTGACCAGTTCGAATAACGCCCGCAACAGCAGCAACAACACCATCGTCGTGACCAACCCCATGAGCGTGAGCGTGCCGAATTTGACCTCCACCGAGTCCAACAGCCAGATCGAGCCGACGTCGACGGCGGGGCTGTTGGAGACGTTCGCGGCGTTGGCGCGCCGCCGCACCCTCGGCTCGGTCACGACGGCCAACAGCTCGAACGCGAACGCCAACAACTCGGGCGCCATCGCCAACTCCAACGCACAGAACAACCAGAATTCGGGCTCGCTGTTCCCGCGCGGCCCGAACTCCGTCTCGAGTCTGGTCAGGCTGGCGCTGTCGAGCAACTTCCCGGGGGGGTTGCTCAGCACGGCCCAGAGCTACCCGAGCCTGTCGTCGAGCAACAACACGGCCGCGCAGCAGGGCGGCATCTCCACGACGGCCGGAACCGTGCAAGGTCTCAGTCAAGCTCTGACGATGAGTCTGACGTCGACTAGTAGCGACAGCGAACAAGTTTCACTTGAGGACTTTTTAGAGTCGTGTCGGGCGCCGACGCTGCTCGCCGAGCTGGACGACGACGAAGAGATGGGCGACGAGGACGACAACGACGACGACGAGAACGAGGACGACGCGGACTACGACGAGGTGATGGTGTCGAGGAATCTGCTGTCGTTCATGGAGGAGGAGGGCTTCGAGACGGCGTCGCGCCCGAGCAAGCGGAGGTCGTGGGACGACGAGTACGTGCTGAAGAGGCAGTTCTCGGCGCTGATACCGGCGTTCGACCCGAGGCCGGGGCGAACGAACGTCAACCAGACGACAGGTGAGCGATGGAGTTGGTGAAAAGGTGTGTGCTTGACGTGGGGTTGCAGATCTGGAGGTGCCGCCGCCGGGACAGGAGGAGAACGGGTCCTATCTGGAGCACGAGCTGCTGCCGCAGCCCAAGCTGATGTTGGTCTTGAGGGGGCCGAACATGCCGGGGATCGCCGACGTCGAAGTGGAACTGAGCGACCCGTCGTGGACCATCTTCAGGGCGGTGCAGGAGCTGATGCAGCTGGCCGAGTTCGGCTCGAAGCAGGAGAAGCTGAGGAGGATATGGGAGCCCACGTACATGTAAGCTAACATCATTATTTAAGTATATTATAGTTGGACAACCTAAGACAAATTTTTCGTCAACGCGCATTTTCACTACAGTGAGCCAACGTATTAGATTTATTTTACTCTACATCAGATGGCGCCATCAAACATTAGCAAACGCAAACACCCTTCACTCTGCTCTTATACGAGGAGTTATCCATAAATCCATAATTAACATTGTTCCGTAAACAGTAATGTGTATAAACATATATGTGCAAAATATGAAAATATACGATAAGATTTTAAGTAAAATTTAGATTCGTGGTGTTACAAAAATATTAACACAAAATGGAAATATATGTTCAAAGTAAATAACAGAATGACATAAACTTTGGGCGTTAACATTACAAATAATTACAAGACAGAAAAAAACGTATTAAGAACTTAAGAGGCATGTTTGTAATATCGAGTTGTTAAAGGCTGCTTTGAAGACTGTTTGTTTCTATGAAAAACAATTGCTGTTATCCGACGTTTTGGTAGATTTTGTTCCAAAAATACGAGATAACTAATTGTTTCTTGAGCTAGTTTCCGTAACTTCTAAAATTTAAAAAGGATACGCCGTTCTGCTGTAATAAAATCTAGAATAAGGTCAAAATCACACTAATATTACATCTGATTTTGTTAACCACATGAATATAATTTACGTTAAAATAAGTTACAGACATTGTTTGAAATGTCTGTTATAGTTCGAAAACAAGATAAAATAAATAAATAAATAATTAAAATGTGCTGTTTATAAACTTCAGAATTTTAGTATAAAATTAATCGTGTTTGAAGCTTTATTTTGTCTGTTCGATTTTATTGGGTGTATTGGACCCCTCTCGGGATATAACATTCTAACAACTAATTTTATTTCTGTTGAATATAAGATCATTAATTTCATTGATATCGGATAAAATCAATAACTGAAAAGGAGGCAGGGTGGGTGGGCAGGGATAATTATGTTCTTCTGTCGAGTAAGGGTGAAAACTAATAATGGAATCTAGGATGCGAAAAAAAGAAAAAAAAGAGCTAAACTTAACTTTTTTTTGTGAAATACTATTTGTTATAAAATTTATTTCTTATTTTACGTTTTTGTCTACATTCCACTTTGTACCACTGTAAATGCCACTTTCTGTCCAATAAAAAAACCGGGTGGGTGGGCGGGGCTAATTATGTTCTTCTCTCGACTGGGAGTGGAAACTAATAATAGAATCTAGGATGTGAAAAAAGTAAAAAAAAAACTGTTAAAATTGCTACATTTCAATTGGCGATTTTGGAAAAACGGTAGGAATTTCTGAGAAACAAAGCCGAAAATGACTTCTAGATATCGAAATCTACAAGAAAAGCTATGCAACTAATTAATTTTCGAGAATGGTTGAAAAATGGTCGAAAATGTCAAAAGTGCCAAAGTCAGTCTTATCTTAGCAAATACTAGCCCCGCCCACCCACCCTCTATTGTCTTGGGGAGTATGTCATCTGCCAAAATCAGTCTTATCTTAGAAAGTACTAGCCCCGCCCACCTCCTCTTCTCATTTTAACAACTAATTTTATTTCTTTTGAGTATAAGGTCATTCATTTTATTCAGATAGGATAAAATTAATCACTGGAAAGGAGGCAATTTTTCAATATTTCAATTTTGGGCTTTTCCGATTCTTCCATTCTTCAAATTTTCTATTTCTCGATTTTTTTATTTTTCGATTTCTCAATCTTTCGATGTTTCAATGATACGATTTCACAATTTTTGTCCTCTTCAATTTTACGGTTTTTAAATATTTCGATTTTTCAATTTTTCAAATTTTCACGTTTCTAAATTTTCAGTTTGCCGATTTCAAAAGTATTTTTTTTATTTATCCATTTCTGGACTTCCTAAAGTTTCGATTTTTCACACCTTCAATTCTTCAATTTTTCGATTTTTTAAGATTACGATTTTTCGATTTTGCTTTTTTAGATTTTCGATTTCTCAATTTTTTAATTTCTCAATTTTTTTAATATTTCTTTTAGTTATGAGATTTTTCAGTATTTCAATTTTTCGACTTTTCGATTTTTGAATTGATAGATTTTTTTTGATTTCTCGATTTTTTACTTTTTGGATTTTCAATTTATTGTAAACTTTAAATTTTTCAATTCTGCGACTGTTTAAAGCTTCGATTTCTCAATTTTTCAACTTTTCGCTGTTTTAATATGTATTTCATTTTTTTAAATTCTAGGTTTTTCAATATCTCGAGTTTTCAATTCTTCTATATTTCAATTTTTCAATTGTTCGATTTTTTTAATTTTAATTTTCGATTGTCCAGTTTTTCTTTTTAAAAAATTTTCGATTATTCAATTTTTTAAGTTCTCAATTTATCGAATTCAGATGTTTCGTTGTTTTTTTGATTGTTCAATTTCTCAATTTTTCAATTTTCGGCTTCCGACTCCTCAATTTCTCGATCCTCCGATTTTTCGCTTTCTCGAAGTCTCAGTTTTTGAATTTTTCGATGTTCCGGTTTTTGGATTTCTCGGTTTTTCGATTTTTTCGTTTGAGCTTTTCAATTTCTGGATTTTCCAATTTTTCAATGTCCCGATTTTTCAATTTTTCAAATTGAATTGGATTTCTCGATTCTCCAATTTTGCGGTATTTTAATTATTCAATATTTTAAATTTTTGATTTTTCGATTTCTCGATTTTTTGACTTCAGTTCTTCAGTATTTAAATTTTTCTATTTTTCAAATTTTTGCGTTAAATTTTCAGTTTTCGGATTTCCCAATTAATCTATTTTTGATTTTCCCACTTCTCAAAGTTTCGATTTTTCGACTTCGCTTTATTGGTTTTTAGATTTCTCAATTTTTGGATATTTCTTTCAGTTTTGATATTTTTCAATACTTCGATTCTTTGATTTTTCGACTTCTAGATTTTTCTATTTTTTATTTTTGGATTTTCAGTTTTTCGTTTTTTATACTTTAGATTTTTCAATTTTTCGATTGTTTTATATTTCAATTTCTCAATTTTTCAACTTTTCCATATTTTAATTTTTAAATTTCTAAATTTTTCGGTGTCTCGAGTTTCCAGTTCTATATTTTAATTCTTCAAATTTCCGAATTTTTAAATTTTTTGAATCTCAATTTATTGAGATTCGGATATTTTGATGTTTTGATTATTCAATCTCTCGCTTTATCAATTTTTCCATATTTATGTTTTCGATTTTTCGATTTTGGCCATTTCAGTTTCTCAATTTTTTGATTTTTCGACTTCTCGATTTTTCGACTCCTCGATTTTTTTGTCTCTTTATTTTTCGATTTCTCGATGTCTCAATTTTTGAATTTTACAATGTTTCGATTTTTCGATGTTTCGATTTTTGATTTATCCGATTTTTCAATTTTACAATTTTTTAAATTTTCGACTTTTCGATTCGTTGATTTTTCAGTTTTTCGATTTTTAAATTTTAGATTTTCGAATTTTTATTTTTTTGATTTTTTTATGTTTGGATTTCTTCATTTTTCAGTTTTAGGATATTTTAACTTTTCGATGTTTTAAATTTTAGATTTTTCGATTTTTCAGTTCTTCAATGTTTTTTTATTTTTCAAATTTTGACGTTTCTGAATTTTTAGTTTTCGGATTTCACAATTAATCTATTTTTTTATATTCCCATTTCTCCACTTCTTAAAATTTCGATTTTTCAGTTCTTCGGTTCTTCAATTTTTCGATTATTCAGGTTTTCGCTTTTTCGGCTCTGCTTTTTTGAATTTTCTGTTTTTCGGTATTTCAGTTTTGGAATTTTTCAATATGTTGATTCAATTTTGCAATTTTTTAATTTTTTAGTGTTTCGATTTTTCCAATTTTTCAAAATTTTGATTTTGCAATTTCTCGATTTTTTAATTTTTCAATTTTTCTATTCTCGATTGATCGAGATTTCGATATTTCGATTTTTCAGTTGTTCAATTTCCCTAGTTTTCAATTTTTGTTATGTTTCAACCCATCTCGACTTTTTGATTTCACGATCGATTCCTCGAGGTTCAATTTTTTGATGTTTGGATTTCCCCAGTTTTTAATTTTCCTTTGATTTTTCAATTTTTCGATTTTCCAATTTACCTGCTCATCAATTTTTAGGTATTTCAGGTTTTTTGCAGTTTTTTAATTTTTTATTATTTCGATTTTTCAATTTTTCAGTTCTTCAAAATTTCGATTTTTTAATTTCTCGATTTTCTACTTTTTCGATTTTTGAAATTTAAGATTTTTTTGATTGGTGAATTATTCGATTTTTCAATTGTTCAAATTCCCTAGTTTTCTGTTTTTTGATGTTTCGATTTATCAAGTCTGGAATATTTCGATATTTCTATTTTTCGATTTTTTGATTTCTGGACTTTTCGATTTCACGATCTTTTCATGTTTCGATTCCTCGAGGTTCAATTTTTTGTTGTTTGGATTTCTAGATTTCTCGATTTTTTTGATTTTTCAATTTTTCGGCTTTCGAAATTTTTCTTATTTTTCTTCGCAATTTTTCGACTTTTTGATTTCTTAATTTTTCAGTTTTTCAATTTTGCAATTCGTCGAAGTTTAAATCTTGCGATTTTTCAATTTTACGATTCAATATTTCGACTTTCCGATTTTTCGATTTTTCAGTTTTTCGAATCTTCAAAATTTCGATTTCTCGGTTTTCTGATTTTTCGACTTTTAACTTTTCGAAAAAACGAAACATCGAAAAATTGAAAAGTCGAAAAATTTAAAAAACCAAAAATTGAAAGATGGGAAAAGTGAACAATAAAGAAAAAGGAAATCGAGAAATCGAAAAATTGATTAATCGATAAATCAGAAAATTGAAGAATCGATAAACTGAGATAACGAAAAAGGATGGAAAATGGAGAAATGGGGAAATCAAAAAATCGAAAAATCGAACACCTTCAAAAATTGAAATATTGAAAAATCAAAAAATCGATTTTTCGTTTTTTAAATTGTAGGATTATTAAATTTGTCAATTTTTTAATTTTTAAAATTTTAGGTTTTTCATTTGTCGATTT